ATAAAACACATTCGAGACTGTGGAGGAATCTTTGGGTTGGTATCTCTAGGCTTCGTCTTTTAAGATTATTAGAGAACTGTTGCTTCTCCTCACAAATAACAATAATCAACACTCTCCGACATGACTTGAAAAGACAATTGCCATCAGAAAAGTGTTTCAGTGTCACTGCAGGGATGTCAAATCCATCTTCCAACTTTTATTTTCTTTGCCAGGTTTGTGTGAAATGTATGAGACAACCATGTGTCAGTAATGTGTGCAGTAAGGACAACATGTCTTAATTTTGTGTTGAACAGTAATGGAATGTCATGGTTCCTCTTCCTACACTAAATGGAAGTGATTACTTTCACATATTAAATTATGAGAACATCAACACCAAAATCATCATGTGCAGAGGAAGGATTTTTCATCAGAGGTTCATGTTAATACTTAAATTGTACCTCTCATGTGTGGATAGTCACTGAATGTGGTATAACCATAACTGTGTTGAGTATACAGTAGATAATGACATCATCACATCAAAAGGTGGAAAATTTGCTAAAAGCTAAAAGCTCCCAAAACTGAATCACATTTAAATTGCCCACTGTCATGTTATACAAATTGCTGTAAGAGACTGTGATCATTACATTTATTGGTGTTCATATTGTATCCGAGCTTCTCCATCTGAGATCAGGGATCTGAGTGAACAGGTCTTCATTGTCGGAGCAATAAAAGCAACTCATCTTTTCACATTCCCAGAGTAACTGACAAAAACGCACAGTTTCTGTTCTCAGAAAACAAATGTATGGGTGATTTAGAAGTGCATAACATTTTTAGCAAGTGGTGAAACTCACACTTGAATCTGACTGTGATCCTTGAATGTAAACGTACACGCTGTGTATGTGCTGTGCTTCATTTTCCCCCACAGCCAGGTATGCCCGGCTGCCTGTGTGTTCTGCCATACAATGTTTAACTCAGCTGCCAGGAGCCACTGAACTTAAGCTACTTAGCAAAGGCAAGAATAGAATGACAGGAGAAAAGAGGGAGGAAAAGGGCAAAGGGAGGGAAGGAATGAAATGAGCTTTTAACCAGAATAGACAGGAGAGATAGACAGAGAGACAGAGAGAGAGAGAGCAGGGGAACAGGACACAGACTGTAGGAAAGAGAGAAATAGGGTGGAGAGAAGGAGGAGAAGTGAGGATGAAGGGAGAGATTTGGAAAGATGGAGCTGTTAGGGGAGAAGCAAATGAGAAAAGAGGAGGGAGGGAAAGTTGTTAGCAAGAGAGTCAAACAGTATGGAGGAGTTTAAAAAGCAGGGACAGAGATGAAGAGGAATGATGGAGTGGAGGGATTTGGCGAGGATCGATAGAGATGTGGTGGAAGAAGGGGCAGAGAGCTGGAGGGTGGCAGGAAGGATTTGGGCTGGATGGATCAAGCCCTGTGAATTGCCTTCCTCTTCCACTCGCATTTGCTCAGAAGCCACATGACCAAATCAATTTCATGATTCACATGATTTTTACACCTGGACAAGCAGGGTAAACATGCTAATGCTGCACAACCCTTAAAATGAAGAGTCCTATCTGTGCTCAGGCCCTGAATCAGCAAGTAAACGAAGGTGAGGAAGAAGGATGGAGGGACTGAGGGTGGACAGTGAAGTAGGAGGAGGAGAAAGAGGAAGAAAACAGATTTGGGAAGAGAGTCAAAACAGAATGATGGTCTGAGGTGAGAGGAGGCTTTTAGGACAAAAAGAGCACAGACAGACGACAGATGAAAGAAAGTGCAGAGAAAAGGTTCAGGGAGGAGTGAGGTGATCTGCAGAAAGAGCATGTGAAAGATGTGAGAAGGATAAAAGTGGAGAGAGTAGACATACAGTATGGTCCTACTGCTCTCATTCTGCGGCCAGGTGTATTCTCCCTCACACACACATCCACCTGACACTATAGAGAATATTAAAACCCTTTGAGACAGATGGTGTGGTTCATGTTAGTCCCACTGTGCCCTCCAAAACTGACCCTGCGGCAGCCAGCCAGGAAATCTCTAAAGACTTTGAAGAGTGTGGAATGCCAAAGCAAGCAGTGACCAGACATTGACATTAACATCACCAAGCAGCCAAATCCAAGCACATTTATTGCATTTATTTCTCTCCCAGGCGTGTATCCCATGTCTGTATTGGAGGATAAAGTACCAGGAGAGGAGGTGGGCCGTCTTAAGGCCAAAGACCCCGACCTCGGAGACAATGGGATGGTGAACTATCGCTTAATAGATGGAGATGGAATGAGCATGTTCGAATTGAGCACTGACTCTGAGACCAGAGAGGCTGTCATTAAACTGAAGAAGGTAAGAACTGCAAGAGACTTGTGACCTTTCTTTCTTTAAGACTGTGTCTGAAGCTTTGTAGAAGAACAGAGCACTGTCTCATTCAGTGTTGTAGTCGTGTCCCCAGTGTTCGAGTCCAAGTCACCAAAGAATAATCTGAGTTGACTCCCCATTACCTGAGTCAGACCCATCAACATCGACATTAAACACAAGCAACACAGCTCTCACCATTTCATATTCCAAACAGTATATTGGCAGAGGTCCCGCTAGACTTTCTCATTGTTCATCATTTTAATGGACAGGAAAATAAAAATTCTGTCAATTTATTATTACCGCTCAATTTAATTTTCATTTTTAAATTTTAAGACATACTTAATAGCATTTTTTAAATAATTAGTATACGGAACAAGCTAATGTGCAGCCACTTTTCAGACAAACACCACATAAAGCAGATGACTTTTTTTGGCAGTGACAGCAAAGGCCACTAAGATTTTTCCATAATTAATAAAAGAAATTCCATCACTTATTCAGTTAATGGAACCTCTTGGGTATTGCATCACCATATTGCTTGGCAATTTGATACATTAAAACATTTATGGAAAGGTGGACCAAGATGTTTAGTGTGAACCCCACCCAGGTTTAAACTTGTGTTCATATCATGTGTTAAGAAACAAAGAAACACAAGATATGACAAAAGAAAGTATGGAATAGTAATGAAGGTAGGTAGGAGCGGTGTAAAGGTTTCACTGTTATCTTAAAAACCCTCAGTTTCTTATGGTGTTTGATATAAATACTGACTTTCAGCACATTATCTGTTCCCTAGGCCAGAGAGCTCATCTTCTGCACTGTGCCTGTAACCCGCACGTGCACAGTGATCCAACTCGGCACACACAATTACTTTTCTTCACTCTCTCTGTAATGCATGAACACATTCTCATACAGTCCCTCCATCTTAAGCACACACCACGCTCTGTCTGATATAGAGAAAGACACTCATTTCTTCTTTTCCTCTCACTCTGTTAAACACACACACTCCGTTATATGTATAGCTGCAGGTCAGGATTATGAACTGGATCTTCCAGTGAGCCTGCGTTTGGCTCCTGAGGCATCCAACAGTTAAAAAACAACTATTTTTAGTCAAACTATCAGCATGTGTGGAAATAAACGTTACTTTAGATGTTCAACTAAAGTCAGTTTTGGAAAAGGCCTTTTCCTTCTTTTTTCAATGGGCATCAAGGAACCTAAGTTTGTCAGATTCTCAGTCCACACAGGTGGTCAGTTTTTTCTAACTTGTCAAAACATGCAATTCATTGCTAGACTTGGCATTTAAATATGTATTTATGTTTTTAAAAGACTGATGGCATTCATGGTGAGCTGCATTGACATTAATAGTGACAGCAATGACATGGCTAAGAGGAGCAACCCACAGCTGTTTTTACTGATGTGGTGGAAAACTTCAGTCTGAATCGATCAACATGAGTCTTTTTAATGCACTTTGCATGAGCGAATCATTTGGACTGGCAAGGGTAGAGGCTTTCTTCCCACTGTCACCAGGACTGAGCACATAAATGAGTGAATGATGATAATGAGTAACAACATTCAGTGTGCCCTCGAGCAAGGCAGTTAGCCCATAGATCAGGCATCACCCAACTGTAGAAAACTATGCGGTTGTGCTTGACAGCACCCAGTAAAAAAATAAAAAATAAAATGTGTACATTTCTGATAAGCATCCCTCAAAGTAGTCGTTAAAAACCACTGACTAAATGTACTGATGAGCAAAGCAGGACAGGCCACTCAAATTAATGAGAGAAACTGATTACACGCAGGTGGGATACTGAGTTTGTGTGTGTGTGTGTGTGTGCACGTTTGGCTGTAACTCAGCCAAAAGCAGAAAACTGTGCTCGAGAAACGTTCAGCGTGTGTGTCAACATCTTATGCTCAACTCAATTTAGCTAAAACTAGCTAAATCCAGTGAGCACTCTGTAAATACATTACGCTGTACATGCATGCACAGCTGAATCATGAATACACACATTCAGCTCTACAGTACTTTATTCCTTCTAGAAAATAGAAACAGCAAGATCAACCTAAAGGAACCAATTTATCTTCAGTTGATTCAATTTCATTCAGTTAGTCACAATCAAAGAGCATAATTAACAAGGCTATTTAATCCACTGTACAGTGCTGCTTTAACTTGGCACTCTGGTCACTTATTTAACATGAAGTAATGTAATAATAAGGTGTGTGTGAGCAGGCAATCAGATGATCACACCATGATTATAGCATCTCAAATCCAAAGTGTGTATATGCCGATGCAAAGGTGTGCGATTGTGTCTCAGTGCCTCTCAGAGGAAATCAACACCTTTTGCCCCCAGGAGGCAGTGCCATGCAAACACCAAGCATGCACATCCCAACACATGAACACTTGTAAAGACTCACACCTAAACACACTTTCAAATCAGCACTGACACTAGCCTTCTCGCCCTCCTCTTTCCCGCTCACAAACATGTGCATGCATGCACACACACAGGGGGATGGAGCTTTAATCAGCCATTCTCTTTCAACTGTGTCCTGACAAAAGCAGTCCACAGAATATTAAGGAGCTGGATGTGTGTCTGTGTGTGTGTGAGTGAGAGCGAGAGTGAGAGTGAGAGAAGAGCGGAAGGTAATGTTGTGAATATTATCATCTCACGCTTATTACACAGAGAGAGAGAATGAAGAGAAAGGGGATCTATAAGACTGGGAGAGAGAAAAAGAGCAAAGCAGAGAGGAGGAGTGTAACAAAAAAAAACTGGGTCACATCCAGTGTGCATGTGATCAGTACGTTAAACACCTACACAGACACCACACACAGGTAGATGGTTGTGTGGAACAATCCACTGAGGCGCCAGCACTGAGTCACTTGGCAGCTGCATCACATGAAACAGCACTAAATCAGACAGATTGAGAAGCTACCGTGAGCTGTTTTCAGAGGTTTTTACCTGCACATGATGACGACTGGCATCTACGCAAACACTCATGTAATATTCTGGCTCCAACACTGGCTCCCACTGACTAGTAAAGGTTTTAGGCACAGAACCTAAACCAATGGTGTGCACTAATAAATAATAAGACATTTTTATCATGCAAATTTACTAACTAACACTTGGTATTGGTCGTCTTGGTGACAACCCTGATCACAGGTAACCCCTGGTAAACCCTGTGTCAAACTCATGAATCTGTGGCTTCTCCTCTCTCCCTGGGATTGCATTACGGGATGACAGCCTGAAGATGAAAAGATCAAGCTTGCTCCTCCTGGGACTTTGCCAGTTAAACACCCCCATACCAGCTGGAAAAATTCCGGTGGTGGAAAGTGGTTATTATCTGGGTTTATAATACAGCAATGATATCCAAAACAGAGTTATTTACTGTGATCATGGCTACGACAGAGCTGCAGATGAGTGCAAGTCACAGCCAAGTGCTGCCTGGCACTGCACAAGCCCTCATCATCACAGCAGAGAGAGTCTCCTGGGTATTATAGCTCATAGGATGACTGCCAACACGTTTCTTCACTGAAAAGTTTTCCCTGCTATAGTATGCACACAGTTCACAAGACAATAAATCGGGAGAAAGAGGAAGATTCATAAGACACACACACCCAATCAATGTGTTTGACTGAGGGTTATCACTTTGTAATTGTTGTGCCACTGCAGGATGAATTAAAACGTGATGTGTAATATTATCATCTCACGCTTATTACACAAAGAGAGAGAATGAAGAGAAAGGGGATCTATAAGACTGGGAGAGAGAAAAAGAGCAAAGCAGAGAGGAGGAGTGTAACAAAAAAAAACTGGGTCACATCCAGTGTGCATGTGATCAGTACGTTAAACACCTACACAGACACCACACACAGGTAGATGGTTGTGTGGAACAATCCACTGAGGCGCCAGCACTGAGTCACTTGGCAGCTGCATCACATGAAACAGCACTAAATCAGACAGATTGAGAAGCTACCGTGAGCTGTTTTCAGAGGTTTTTACCTGCACATGATGACGACTGGCATCTACGCAAACACTCATGTAATATTCTGGCTCCAACACTGGCTCCCACTGACTAGTAAAGGTTTTAGGCACAGAACCTAAACCAATGGTGTGCACTAATAAATAATAAGACATTTTTATCATGCAAATTTACTAACTAACACTTGGTATTGGTCGTCTTGGTGACAACCTTGATCACAGGTAACCCCTGGTAAACCCTGTGTCAAACTCATGAATCTGTGGCTTCTCCTCTCTCCCTGGGATTGCATTACGGGATGACAGCCTGAAGATGAAAAGATCAAGCTTGCTCCTCCTGGGACTTTGCCAGTTAAACACCCCCATACCAGCTGGAAAAATTCCGGTGGTGGAAAGTGGTTATTATCTGGGTTTATAATACAGCAATGATATCCAAAACAGAGTTATTTACTGTGATCATGGCTACGACAGAGCTGCAGATGAGTGCAAGTCACAGCCAAGTGCTGCCTGGCACTGCACAAGCCCTCATCATCACAGCAGAGAGAGTCTCCTGGGTATTATAGCTCATAGGATGACTGCCAACACGTTTCTTCACTGAAAAGTTTTCCCTGCTATAGTATGCACACAGTTCACAAGACAATAAATCGGGAGAAAGAGGAAGATTCATAAGACACACACACCCAATCAATGTGTTTGACTGAGGGTTATCACTTTGTAATTGTTGTGCCACTGCAGGATGAATTAAAACGTGATGTGTAGAATGTGTTCCGTTCTGGACGGTCAAATCAATATCAAGGCCAATACGGATTAAGTGAACTGACTAAGTGCAATACAAATTAAATGAATTACGGGGTTTTACACGTTTACACTAAAAACCGGCACTAAAGACTATAAACGGTAATTATTTTTAATTTGAATAATTGATTAAAACTGTGTAGTGCCTGAAAAACAATAGAGAAAATTAAGCAAATTGTTGTTTCCATGACCTGGGAATTGAATGCCCCCCCACCACCTTGTGACCCAAAGGAAGTTCTCCTCCCTCTTATCATGTAGCATCCCAAACACCCAAACCTAATCCTGGCTCAATAAAAACAGACTAGTATTGTTTTGATGATGTAAACATGACATCAGAAACAAGAGAGTGATTTTAGTCCTAAATTACTCATATGATACCCTGAAATATCATGCAATACAAACTATACTGAAATAAAAGCCAGTATTTCTCCTGGTTTTGTTTTAGAAGTTATAGTTGGCCTGATACATGTCAATGCAGCTGATCATATCCCTGCTTTCATTAATGTAGCAACAGCTCCCCCTACCAGAAAATAAGGATACGGCACTGGCCACAAAATCAATGCCACCTCAGCAGCAGAAAAAAGTTTTTCATTACACAGCAAAAACAATATATCATTTGAATGTGTGTTTACAGTTACAATGTGGTCAAACAGAGATGCACTGATTAAATGACCTGTATTCACTCTCACTGTCTACGTTTCTCCTTCAGCCGGTGGACTTTGAAACTAAAAAGACCTACACCTTGAAAGTAGAAGGATCCAACCCTCATGTTGACCCTCAGTTCCTTGCTTGGGGGCCCTATAAGGATGAAGCTACAATTAAGGTATTACATATGTTGACATGTGAAAAATGAATGATTGTGTGCAAGAATGATGACCTGAGAAAGAGCTTGTATGTTTTTAGGTGTGTGACTGAACAAAAATCAAAAGAGTGATTTATATGTTTGTGTGTAGATATCTGTGGAGGATGCAGACGAGCCTCCTGTGTTTGTAGCTCCCAATTACACTTTTGAGGTAGAAGAGAATGCGCCTGAAGGCACCCCGGTGGGACGAGTCCACGCCAAGGACACTGATTACGCCAACAATCCTGTCAGGTAACACAGACACACAGTACACATGCACACAGACATTCACCAACCATTCACCATTCGCCTGCACTCAAGGAACTCCACAAAATACATTAAAATGTATTTATATATCTTAATGTTCATGTGTAATGGCACTAACAAATATTTGTCTTAACCATGTAGGTACATGATACCTCGGTACACAGACATAGAGCAGTTCTTCACCATAAACTCTGAAGACGGCATGATTGCCATCACGAGACCACTGGACAGAGAAGCACAGGCCTGGCATAATATATCTGTGTCTGCTACAGAGATAGGTACGTATGCACACAGACTCTCATCCAAGTCCTGAAACATTCTGGAGAACTGGGACTGGGTACCTCCATAGTTCTCACTTTCTCAAATATAATCTACTAACACACACAGCCACTGAATCACCATCATATTTTCTGATATTTTCAGCTGTTCCATGACAGCAGTTCATCTGCTGTTCTGTACTTGATCTGGTCTGTTGTGTGATCTGTGCTATTGATATTGGACGGAGAGACAAAGTCAAAGATGAACAAACAGATGGAAAGTCCCATATAGCCACCAGGCTGTACATTTCTTGCATCTAAACCTCAGCCTGTCAGTCTGCAGGGCTGGATACACACAGTCATGTACTGACTTTAAGTGGATTCAAGCTGTTGTCTTTAATTCTCTCCCCCCCCCCTTGGGTGGGACTACAGTCAGCAAAGTGAAAAACTGCCTAAACCCATGTGCCAATATACCGGTAGTTTTTTAATTGCATAAACAAAAAAAACAAAAACAAGAGAAGCGGTGAGGAGGCTGGAGACAGAAATCTGACAAAAGACAGCCTGAAGGCGGAGTACACAAAAACCTGTTCTCTAAACACTGATGCAGTGAAAGAAGTGACAAACTAAAGTAGTTGAGACACCACTAAAACTTTTCACTGTCCATGCCTTGCCAATCCAAACAATCTCACTAGCTATACAGAAAGAGTGAGGCAAGGAAAGTGGGGAATGCCAGTCGATACACAGGACCTCTGGAGTTTTTTTGTCCCTGGCTTCCACCCCACAAGCCCTTGAGCCACAGTGGCCCCACCTTGGTATTCTGTGGTTGGAGCTCAAACTAGCAAAGCACTGCGTGGTTTCCCTGTGGTGTGCTAGACGCCAGGCGCCCAGATGGGAACGACTTGCCGCCCACAAAGCTAGGACCACTGCAGGCTATGATAACCGCTAACAGGCCCCGAGAAGCTAAATAAATACCTAGTAATGACAGGGTAGCGGAAAAATCATACTGACTAGAATTGCAAATATGCATGGCAGTACCGTGTGGACAGTCTTTCTTTTTTTAAGGTGAATGGACAGATGGAAAAAACTCTTTTCTCTCTCTCAGTCCTTCTTAGTTAATATTCTGGAGTTCTTTGTTTGCTGTATGTCTATTTTGGATGATTAGACGTCATTCTGTCTGCATCAGATCACAACTCCTTCATCTCCAGCAGGCAAATCTCGACATTTGTCACTTTTGCATATCAAAATAGTTTTGATAACAAGCATGGGACAAGGCTATCTGACAGTGTGACAGGAAATTCTGATGTCTCTCGAACTCATGCCTGTAATTTTTGAAAATCAAAATAACAGTTGGCTGAGTGACAGAACAAATGATACGTGGTCTTGTTGGAAAATATTTAAATAGTTACATTTGCTTGTGTGTCTATTCTAATCCACGTTTGGTGGACACAATCACACACACATACACTCAAGCACAAATGAGTGTTTAATAAACTTGTCACTGCTTTTTTCTGTGTAGCAGAATGCTGATGGATTTGCCCTTTCCTGTGTGTGTGTGTGTGTGTGTGTGTGTGTGTGTGTGTGTGTGTGTGTGTAGGAGGCCACCACCAAGACACCAAAGTGCGTGTTAACATCAAAGTGAAAGATGTGAACGACAACCCCCCAGAGTTTGCTACGAACAACGAAGTCCTCATGTGTGAAACTGTGGTGCCAGGGAAGGTACGTCCATCTGTGTGAGCGTGTGTGCATGTGTGTGTGTGTAGATGCATGCATGTCTGTATGGGAATGTGTGTACGGTATTTGTTGGTGTTTTGTGAGGATTATAGTTAACCAGCTCCAACATGTCCCCATAATCGGTATTTTACACGGCTCCTATGTGGTTTAGGTTGTTGAAACATTAAGTGCAGTGGACAAAGATGAGATGGCTCACAGACAACACTTCACATTCAGCCTCACCCCAGAAGTCGCCCATAACCACAACTTCTCCCTCAAAGACAACAGAGGTAAATGGACCTTTGATCATTTTCTTTATCTCCTCCACTTCGTTTCTTTCTTACTTTGTGTTCAGCCCCTTCTAGCAGCCAATACTATCTTTTCTCTAACTATGGTCTCTTTCTCATTCTCCCCCTTTCACTCAGATTAGATCAAAGCATAACCAGATGGAGGCTTACAGTACCTTGTAGAAAGCAGAAGGTGCTCTGAATCTCTCTCTCACACACACGAATGCATGTCCTGCGGGCTGTATTAATTGCAGCGGGGTCTCCGTCCGTCTGTACATATATCTAGGGGGCAACTGATTGAATTAATTTTCAGTGCTGGGAGAGAGACTAAAGAAAGAAAATGTGTATATGTGAGAGAGGCAAGAGAATAAGGATAAATTGTTCTCTCGCCTGCTGTAAAAGACTGGAGTAGAGCATGAAAGTGAATGTGAAACGAATGTGAATTGTGCCGAGTTTCACACGATCAACGGGGATTAAGTCTGGGATCTGAGAGACCTAGTTGGGCATATAACAAAGTCACGGAGTGTATCTGTGTATCGACACCATAGCACAGACAGACTGATAGACAGGGACAGATAGATTCACTCCATCTGTCCAGATACTCTCAGAACCACACACACACACACAAAGACATTCACACAGCTGTCAGGGAGTCACAGTGTTGGCAGGAGGCTGATAGCAACAGATGACTCTGACATCAGTTGCACAGAGGGTTGGGGTTTACCTTCACTCTCTTTTGGGGTGAAAAGTTTTCATGAGTCCTTCTAAGCTCTTCTTTATTGTTTGGTACTTTTTGTACTGATACATAATTTATGGTATTTTGCACAGGTCAAACACTGTACATTGTTATTTTAAACTGTGCTCATAAATAAAGATGATCATTGTTGCTATTTTATTGTACAGTGAACCTTGCAGAGTGAGGCTAAGAGTCTGCATTTTAGTGTAGACACACACACATACACACAAAAAAAAAAACTCATGAGGCTGCTCAAACATGTTGCATCCATCCTGTAGTAATTTACACACATGCAAAACACAAGGAGAACTGAGACGAGGACAGAAATTCAGCAGAATCAGCAGACACCCCAAACCTTTTGGTAAACAGAAGAGTGATTTAAAAGATGAAGAGTGGAACAGAAGAAGGCATATGTGAAGACAAAATAGAAAGGTTGCTGGTAACAGTCACCAATATAGAACAATGAGGTGAAATGACTGGTGAACCTGTCACACTAGATGTTGTGGGTGTTTAATCTGTTAAATGTTATGAATAGCTTTTGAATAAAAAGTAAGGACTGTGTGTGCTAAGGTTACGTCTAGAGCTAAAGATGAAGAAATAAATGTAGCCACTATGTAATGACTGTTTTGCTGGGTGATGAAGCTTACAAAATGCCTCCAAAGTACTTCATCGCATTCTTTGTCAGCAATAAAGATAAGAACTGTTTGCACAGGGAAGCAGACAGAAGGAAGTGTGTTTGGGCGGGTATGCAAAGGCAGAGCTAGCTGCTAGTCCTTGTCATAGCTGCCTTTGATTACATTTCCTCCTCAGCTGATGAATGTGCTCACTATTAAACAGGAATTTAATATCACCAGTCACACCTCATTGGCTCTTGTGTGTTACAACACATGTGTCTCTGTGTGTGTGAGCAAATGCCACCAGGTGTGTGTGTGTGTGTGTGTGTGTGTGTGTGTGTGTGTGTGTGTGTGTAGACAATGATAAAAAAGAAAATTGTGTTTATAAGTGCTGTAAGAGCAACTGAGAAAAAATGCATTATTGTTTGCATGTTTCTGCACATGTTCTCTGTGTGTAAGACCAGGCTGATAGAAATCTAACCATAGAATTTGGTTTTGGCAAACTCAGCAGTATATCCTTCTGTCTTTTACACTCCACCATGGTTTAAAGAGAGTCTTTCTACAACATTTTTCTTCCTCTCCAGACAGCACAGCCAGTATCTACGTGCTCCGTAAGGGATTCAGCCGTCTGACCCAGGATGTTTACTACCTTCCCATCGAGATCAACGACAATGGGTTCCCCGCTATGAGCAGCACCAACACCCTGACCATCAGAGTGTGCTCTTGTGACAGCAAAGACACCATCCTTTCCTGTAACGTGGAGCCCTACGTCCTCCCTGCTGGGCTTAGCACCGGGGCGCTGATAGCTATACTAGCTTGTATCGTCATTTTGCTTGGTAAGGAGCTAAAATTGACTTCAAATCAGAGATTTGTATGGTGGAACAGATCAAGGATTATAGATTTATCTAAGATTTTCTCCTCCTGACTTGACATTTCAATTGGTTCCCTCAGATTATCCAGCAGTGTGTTTGCAGATGAGTCTTTTAATCAAGTCAATCAACGTGCTGTTCCAGTGATGCCAAACATGCCTGATATTTACTTTACTCTGAGGTGAAACACGGGGCGCTCAGTCAGGCTGATCACCTGCTTTCATGCCCTCATTCAGATTTCACTGCATCACTGGAGCTCCTCGAGATTTGACACTTGTGTGGCAGCAGCTACAGCGTCATTTCTACTGTCTCTCATACCTCCTCCTTACATAATCGTGTAGTGTGGGCACAGTGTCTGAGGAACAATCAAATTGTTTTCTGGGAAAATGCATACAATACAACGTAAAAGTTTCTGAAGTCATCAGTTGCGTCTCTGGCTTTAGTTTTCTTTCTCAGCCCACTGGGTAACCCACATTGCAGCTGTTATCGCTCTTATGTTTTTATGTACTTGCATATTCTATCCCTGCATTTGGAGCTTACACTGCATTTTAATACACAACTGAGAACCGTTTGGAAGCCTGGCATGTTGATAACCACCTGCAATTAAAATGAAGTGTGTATAGTACAAAACAAAAATGATATTAATTGTACAAGGCCTAATTGCATTACCTCCCACAGAGAATTCAAATTAATACTCGCTTTTCCACTCTATTCAGAGATTGTGTGACGATCATTATGTAATGACTTAACGCAGACCATTTAAACCGCGTGGTTGTGTGTTTCTCTTTGGCAGCAATTGTGGTGTTGTTTGTTGCTCTGAGGCGTCAGAAGAAGGAGCCACTGATCGTGTTTGAGGAGGAGGACATCAGGGAAAATATTATCACTTACGATGACGAGGGAGGTGGTGAGGAGGACACGGAGGCTTTCGACATTGCTACACTGCAGGTATGAAGGGGAACAGTGGCACCAAGACTCCTAGCATTTGTCATATTTTTGTTTTTTGAACGAGATATCAGATGAAGTGGGTGTTCAGAGAGTCCTTTGACTCAACTACTGTTAAATGGTTAAAAACAAAAAAATACAAATCTAAGTGTCCACATTTTGTTCATATCCAGCCTTGTTTGTTGTTGATGTTTGAGCATGATACACGTCATATGCCATAAATACACTTCTTTATCCTAAACAAACTCCCTTTCCAAACTTAATGTTACATTGTTAGATTAAAACAATGTGTTCTCTTTTAAACTGTTCAGAATCCGGATGGTGCCAACGGTTTCCTGCCCAGGAAGGACATCAAACCAGAGCTTCAGTGTCCCGGCATCAGGCCCGGAATCGGCCGTCCTGCCGCCAACAGCATTGATGTTGATGACTTCATCAAGACTCGAATCGCAGAGGCTGACAGCGACCCGACTGCACCTCCCTACGACTCCATTCAGATCTATGGCTATGAAGGAAGAGGATCATTGGCTGGGTCACTGAGTTCCCTCGAGTCGGTCACAACAGAGTCTGACTTGGACTATGACTATCTGCAGAGTTGGGGGCCAAGGTTTAAGAAGCTGGCAGATTTGTACGGGACCAAAGACTGCTCCATTAATGATGCCGATGATGGTGAAGACTCTTAACAACGGTCTTACTGAGCAAACACACCCGATTTCTGATTTACTGATTCCATGAGGATTTGTTAACTGAGGGTTAACACTCCACTGTTCCCAGTTGTCTTCAACTACCAAGTGATCAGTTCATGTCAATTTGTCAGTGAAGGTTAACAGCTCTCCCTCCCATGGCACCTCTCTGGTCCTCCATGATTTGTTAATGAACACATAGTGAACTCCCGGACTACAACCGCTCCTAGTTTTTCCTACATTCCTCGAAATCCTCCTGTGTCTCTTCTCCTGTCTCTGTTTTTACAGACTTGAGCATTTCAGGGCTGGGAGATTTGTTAGGTCATATGTCTGTCTGGAAGAAAAGTGCTGGGAAAAAATACGGCTGTATGATCAAGATGACTGGCTTACAGCAAACTGTTTAGTTTAGAGGTTCTATATACTTTTGTGGACTGGATTCACAAATGTCCTCATGAGAGTGATTTTATTCCCATAACAGGTTCCTAAGATTTCCATAGTTGCTCTCTTTGTGGTGTATTTATGTGACATTGAGAGAAAGCGGAAGATATAAGCAAATGAAAGAGGGAGACAGCAACTGCCTGATGTTTTGAAAGAGAAAATAGAGGTAATGAAGATGTGTCAGGGGATCAAACAGTTGAAATGCTTTTTCAAATGTGTTGCTGTGTGTGCAGAATAAGCAGGTACTTTGGTTTCGATAGCGTGACAGACTCTGGGTTGTTGATACTCTGAAGACGCTCACAGCATCTTCACAGTATGGTGGCCTTATAATAAACAAACAACAACTCCAGGGGTAAACACAACTAGAGTAATGGTAGGGACCGCTAGCTTCAGTAGCTACACACAGATAAACGAACATACAAGGACTGAGTATCTGTGAAAATGCTACACACATATATATATACATTTTTTGTACTCCCAAGAAGAGAGACTCAACATGGATTCAACTTCACATCTGTGGACGATTCTTTGTTTTCATTCTTCACTGCATAGAAGACATGAGGCTGTGTCCACGTCCTCACCCCCTGTGTCCCCATTCCTTCCATTAACAATCACTTCCCATACCAAATGCACCAATGAATGATCACTTCCTCATTCGGAGTCCACCAATGATGGTCAATCACAACTAGTAAAAACCTGTGAGCTCTAAAAATCGCCTTAAACCTAATGGACACTCTTGCAACGCGGTGCATTCTCTTTTGTTTTCTCCTTTTGTATATTCACAAAGCAAACTACTCTCCATCTTAGTTATGTACAGAGCAATGTGCAGACGTGATATATCACTTTGAGGATCCATCTTGCGCCTCATTCACTCTTAAAACGGGACGTGCTGTTTCTGCCAGCACAGTAAATGTAGGTCTGGGGAAATGTGTATTGTGTTTTTTCCCCCAACACCAGCTATGTTGGCAGCAGCATCTGTTGTATCAACATATGTTGTTATTGAAGCGTAAAATGTGTACATTGGAAAATAACACAAGGGGCGTTTTCTGAGCTACATATACGGAGAGGCCGAAACCAGAACATCCTTTTTTTAAGCGTGTAGGTTCTTATCCTATTTCTTTTTAACATTATTATATGATTGTTGTTTTTTATTATTATTATTATCATTATTATGACGATTGTTCTTTCTTTGGCTACACAGGAACAAACTAATGTTTTACTTTTTGCAGGCCAGATTCGGTGTTCTTATGGTCGTCTGAGACCACGTGGTATTCCATTTTCTTTTTTTGGCCCGCTACAAGAATTTTTTTTTTAAATATATATCATTTTTTCAGTTTATGCCTGTGTGAATACAACCTCTGTCAATTCTTTTTTTTCCATTATTTGGCGTTTCTTCATTCTTTCTCCCTGTTCAAGAGGAAAACTAGCAATCTGTGTTTGTTGCAGTACGAGAACGCCTCCTTTTTATTCAAGTTTTATGGTACCGATTTGTACAATTTTAAAAGTTCTTATTTTAGTATACATGCAGAATATTCCAGTATTACAACAAAAGACATGTTAAGAAGTTAAGATTGAAAAAATGTTACAGCATCACACTTATATTTTCTGAACATTGTACTGTTGCTTTACTATGTGCTTCAATCTCTGAAGCGACAAAAAAGATTAAAAAAAGAAAAAACCAACAACTTTGAAATAAATGCTTTTTATAAAATGATACTGAACTTTGTGTGGGAGTAACCACTGTGTTAACACTGGGCACTACACTACTTACATTTCCCTGACCATTAGGTAAGTAAGAGGCGGTCAGATGGCCGTCCTGGGATATCTGCCAACCGTGGGCCCAGGTTGACTCAAATACATGATATTCAGGAATGTTACACTGAAACTGGAGTAAAACCTGGAGTAGTTCTCTTTTTGCGAAACTATGTAAACCTTGCCAACAAGCAGGTCACAGAAAAAACAGTTTGAAAAAACTCGGTCTGGTCTTGCACTTGAACCAGGCTCAACTTTACCCGCAACGCAGCGTCATCTGACAAGGAGCTGCAGTGACTTTTCAAATGTATGCAAGGGCACATAGACTTTGTAAAATTTGTTAACTCTGTATTTCTATTGGAATGACATCAGCTTTGCAGGTTTTGGTCACAAACAATGGAAGCATCATAAGGACCTGGTGGATTTAAAAGGTTTTCTGTTTCAACTGCCTTTTTTAACTTGGCATACAGAAGGAAACACGCACAGTCTTTGTATTTTTTAAGCTTATTTTTTGCCTGTGTGGATGCAAGCTATGTAGAATAAGCTTTTCAAGAAGTCACTCATTCTGTAGTTTATCTCCATCATAAAGCAATGCCATGCACATGTGCACATTAAGTATACAAATAGACAGAGACGTTTCATTCACTCACTCCTAGGGGGAGCAACGCTGAGAAAGGTCAGGCAACACTTTAGCCGAGCAACAAAAAGACGACAAAGAAAGTGAGTGGCAGAGAGAAGACGAAGAAGAGAGGGAGGAGGAAGCAGAATTCAAAGCTTCACCAAGCGGCTCAAAGAAGCATCCATTGTATCAGTTCAGAGTGGATCAACAACACAGAGGAATCTGTTAAACCCATGCTAATTTACTGTACATCCAATTAAATTGCATATTTACCCAAATTAAACCATCATGTTTTAACACTTAACTGAAAAACATAAGAAAAAGTGATTTATTATATTTCAATCTTTCTGTAGTGTCTAACCAGTCCAACTATTGCTCTCTGATTCAGTTTGGGATTTACCCTGAGATGGGTGTATTTCCACATGAAATACAATCCAGCTGACTCGGAAAATAGAAAATTAAAGACACACGAATCTGAACTTTGTCAACTACAGCTTAACATGGAGCATACAGATGGAACAAGGCAATGTGAGCATATAAGAGAAAAATGTGAGTTAGTGTGAAGGGGAGTGCAAATAAAAGGAGATATGAGAAAAAGAGAGGGGAACTGTTGTGCCTGCTGCCGCCTGTGGTCCCACTGCAAAGGAGGCAGTGGAGTAAGAAGAGGTGAACTTCTGCACCTTTACTGCTGTGTCCCACTGGTAGAAAGAGAGAAGACAGAGCCAAATCGATAGAGAATCAATCCGAAAAGGGATGAGGACAAGTAAACTATTGTGTGTGCCAGCTAGAGGTGAGAAAGGGAAGGAAGGATGTCTGAGGACACAGAGATGAGGATGTGTAATGGACTGAGTTTGAGTGGTGAGGAAGAGCACAAAATGCAGTGTGTGGGGTGAACATTTGCACCTGTTTATGCAAACTTAGCATCTCCCGCTGAGACAGAGACAGATGCAAAGACAAGGACAATCAGGTTTGTCTGGTTGAAGAACGAAAAGAATGTTTCAGTAGCTAATGGGTCAAATGTGATCTTATTAGAGCATGAAATGAGATATTTTTGCAAGTGAAGCAGCCATTGGGAGATCAGCAGGCTGATGCACCTCCTACTGTCAAGCGTAGGTTAGTCTGAATGGCTCCATTATGACCGTTATAAACATTCTCTCTGAACAGAATTAATAATATGCAAGGAAAATACATACAGTACAATGCAAATAACATAATGATGGAGGAGGAGGAGATACAGGTAAGTGAGGTTAAATTATATTGGACACATTGATTTTCAAAGCTAAGTATTGTGATTAGTCCTAAAATGTGCCTAGAGAGTAGTGACAGTGCAACTTACCAAAGCAGTTAAAAAATTAACACCAAGCTTCCATTTCAGCAGATCAGTAGTGCAAAGAGCTTTAACACTATTCTTTCATTTCTCTTGCTCTGGGCATGTCCTAGTCATGACACTTTAATCCTTAAATGTCTAAACTCCATGAGTCCCCTAGGAGCCAGGCAAAGTATCTTCAATGGATGCCAAGAGTGTGTCTGAGGACATTGTGTATATGTTTGTGTGTCAACAAAATCTTTTTGCCCTCAGGTTTGTTCTCCTGTCTGTGTGTGATGTGCTAAACTGACATTAGTCATTATGGTAAACATGTACTATGTAGCAATGGGCAGTAATCTGCCTTTCAAACTGCTTCTGGTGCCTCGTGGAAAGGAAACACTGCAGCTTTGTCACCACATGCTAATTCCAGTGTGGGTGTGTGTTTGAGCCAGGACTTGTGTACCCGTGTCCTCTTTTGCTTGTGTTAAAGTTAAAAATTTAGTCATGCCCTCACATTTTTAAAGTTGTGTTATAATTAGGTGCAGGTAGGCTCCAGTAGCACCGCTGTAACTACCGAGCTGCAAATCCACAAACTAATGGGACCAGGTAATTCCTATAGATTCTACTGTCACAAAACCTTGGTCCACTTTTCAGTCTTACTACAAATGTTTGGTTAGAAACGCACAAAACTCACCTTTTCCAATTGTCAGTTGTTTCGTTCGGGCCAAATTTCAACTGACGGTTCACATAGTCTTAAAACAAAGTCAGATTACAGATGTTTTCCTGTCATTCTACATAACTGGCAGCCACTACTTGGCTAACAAACCAAGAAATAAATCTGTGATACAAAGTGCACAGTACTTTATTTTTGACATCAGCACTTTACTTGGTGAAATCATCTGTATCTCCCTGTCTGAGGTGGTTCACACTTGGTCTCTCTCCTTCTGACTCTCGTGAACTCTACATGGTACCTGAACAACACTGACATCAGCACATTTGATTACTCTCACCTTTCACACAGAAGTGCAAAAATCTATTTCTTGATACTGATGAATGAACTGCAAGGACTTAATCATCAATTTTCCAACTGTAATGAAAATGCAATGAGTAATATGACGAGTTTGTGACAAATCACTTCTCTCTGGGTGGAAGAAGCTGAGCTCAGTTTGTTTCCATACAATGTTCCTAAAAAGCCCCTCTTTCACCACCTTATTTATTAATGTTTGATAGTCTCTCAGGCAAGAAAATAGCCTTCTAGTTTTCAAACATGTGGTCAATCTATCCAAGTAATGCCAATTACAAATTTGCTCCGACCATTTTGGAGGTGTGATGATCTGCTAATGTGCCAGCTAGCTAGCTCTACTTTGCAAGCACAGCTGTAGCCATTATGATCATATCACATTCAGTAACCCTGAAAAAAGTTTACCCTCTATAAACACTTGTGACAGAAGTGGCAGCAACTATTATGAATGAATAAAGAACAAGCGACTGGTGTCATCACATGTAAACATCCAGGTTAATCGTGGGCGAGATCGCTGCATGGTAGTGACGAATTTCTCTGACCAAGCGTAATCTGCAGTGTTTACCCATCACCGATTGGTATCGCCTCAGCTCACTTGGAACCTCAACGGAGGGGATACCAAAAATTACCAGGTACTATCCCAACATCTGACTGATGGAAAAACAAATAAGGCAAGTAGAGTCAAGTCGAGTTGAGCCGGTACCAGGCGGCGGAAAAGGGGCTTAATGCCCTGTCAACTTGAGCATAATGTGAAGAAACAGACAAGGCACAATTCAGCAGCTGTAGAAAACAAGCTGGAAGAATACAAGTCACTTGAAGCGGTATGTTTTAGCCCCATATACTGCTCCTCTCCTTTTCATTCAAACTTTCTAGCAGAGTTTGTAGCCTACATAAGTAGATTTAAATTCACCCAGACATATTAAAATTATATCTGGCTGAAGCATGTTTCATGTTGGGTAAGAATTTCTAGTGTAACCA